CAGAAAAATGAGCTATGGCTACTGATAAGGGAAAATTTGCAATTACTTTGCTAACGCTCAACATAAACTCTTTCAAGGATACAGCCTGGAATGTGCGACTAATTCAGGTGTCTTCCACAACACAAACCCAGGCTCAAGTTACATATTAATCATAAGAACATATGGTAGAGATGCGGCCAGATTTAATTTGCTTGTTACTGATCTTCCCATGGCTGTTGCTAAGAGGAGATACAGCAGAATGCACGGCCATGCATATACACCTCCTCCCCGCCCTTATTTTTTCTTAGAAAGGTTAAGACTACATGAAAAGTGATTAACTTTAACTGTCTAAAATCTTAACTGAGGTTACAGCTATGGGAAATGTATTTCTGAGGTAAGAATTAATTATTATATATAAATAATATTATATACTAATATGTAATAGACCTCTATCTATCTATATATAATAATGCACACGTCTGTGAAAGAGGCTTTTAAAGCCTTTAACTCTGAGGCTAAATCTTTAAAGTCAAAAAGCTTCTGTACTCGCTTCAGTTCAGCTTTCACAGGATTGGAGAAGACGACTGCTAAAAATCACTTAAGGGGAAGGAAGTAAAAATGACTGTAGGTGCACTAACTGTGTGTATCAGCAAGTGAAAAAAACCACAGTAAGCATTTAAATGTTGGAAGTGGCTTTGTATTTTTTGTGTAGCATTAGAAAAAATATGCTCTCCTCTAACTTAGGCTTGTGCACTTGTCCTCACGGTAAGCACACAAGGCACAATCATTCAGGAGAAGTTACTTCTGCCCTGCTTGTCTGTGATATATTTCCTGTTGTGCAGGAATTTTAATTTATATGCGACTATTTGATATAATGTGCAGCTCCTTGGTGTGAGTCTCCTTGGTAAGAGTTACGGGGATCTCTTAGCTCGTTAAAAGAAGGGAGGAAACTGGTCTGAGAGACAGGCTTGTTATGAAAATGAATATGGTTTACATAAAGAAAGCAGACTTTTTGTGGTGACTGCTTTAGCTCATACTCTGTCAATTTAGCTTATAAAAACAGACGAGACTCTACTCAAGTCAGTTGAGTAATGTGCTTTTCCTGTAGTTTTTACAAATCCTCTTCTACTGAGTATTTAAAGCCTGAAATTGAGCTCTAACTGCCTGCGTTAGAGATGTTGAGAACTAATTGCAGTGGAAGACAATGGGACCAGAACTGTTTGCATCTAATATTTCAACCTAGATTTGCAAAAAAACGACGTGAGCTTTGCAGCATTTCCAAGTATGTGTTTAAATAACAGCACTCTGAAATAATTGTCCTTAGAGAAAAGAATAAAAATGGAACAAATGCAGAAGTAGGTCTGTGTTAACTTTTCCTAATGTATCTGGTATCCAGTTCTTGAGGGACACATGCTGGTTCAATGCTGCTCAGGCTGTAACATCTCATTTTCTATGTTGTCCTTTCAAAATATCAACTGAGTAACCTTGCTAATGAAGTTTCTGAAGTAGGTAGTGATATTCCATTTTGAGGCTAGCAGCACAACATCTTTCTTGACCCAAATAAAATAAAAAGAAACCCAACACTAAAACGTATGAAGAATTCAGTTTTGGTGACGAGATTAAAAACAGCCCCCTGATTTTAAATAGTTGCATGCTGTGGGTTGCATGACAGCGGCCAGGATGGTCTAAACTAGGTTACCATTTCCATGCAATAATCTTACCACCCTGAGACACTGAATAACCTAGTGGACGTCTATTAAGTAAATGGAAGCAGAGGTTAATGAACATTTACTGGACCAACTTAACACCCTAAAACCACAGGCATCAGCCAGACTGAGAGGCAACATACTGATAAGATCAAGTTTTCTTTACAAATCTATGAGTCCCTGTACAAAAATAAAGTATAAAAGGGGCAAACAGAAATATTTGTTCCTTCCCAATCCCAGGGCTGCTTCTGAGGTGACGTTCAGCATAAATTGAGAGAAGTCCAAGAGGTGCTCTAAATTATGCAGTGATATTTACAGTACCAGGAGGACCCTTCTCCAGTTGGAGATTGCAAATAAATAAATAAATAAACAAACAGTAACATTAGCTCTGCACCTGCATGAGTCTTCCCTATGCAAGTGAAGCTTCTGTATGAATTTATGGCAGCCTTTTGCCCTCTACATACCATACAAATAACAGAGACGCATCAGAAGGGTTTGGGCAGGGCAGGAGGCAGGGGAGGCGTGGATCGGGCAGACTGAAGAGTCCTCGGCTTGCTCTGCGCTTCCTGGGGCTGCGCTGAAACCGGTTCATGGAGCTCACTGGGCTGCAGGGTTCAGCTGTACTTAAAGCCTAACAGGGTTCCAAGTTAATCTTTTGCTACTGAAGGTCCCTACAAGGAAAACAGTCTGGTAAGCAGGAGGCAGGACAGTATGCTCACTGATATGCTTTACAGTTTTCGTCTCTTGACAAAAGGCTGTACAGTGAGAATAAAAGAAACAAAGCTCTCTGGGTTAGTCTCTCCACTGTGTAATATTAACTGAATGGCAGCTCCACTTAAGAGAAGAAAAGCATATTAGTTACATTAAATCACTACTTATTGCCATCTACATAAGGCAGAGGCACCCTCACGGGCCTTGTAAGTTTTCTTTCCTTACAGGCTGGATACACAGAAACTCCCAAGAAATTCACATTAACAGAGTCAAAAGTGTGTAGTCAAAACATTTATGGTCAACTATATCCAAATTATCAAAATTACTTTACCTGTTCAATGCCATAAACATTTGAGATGAAGAATGTGCCACTGAAGTCAGATACCAATGCTTACCAGAGAAGTAGTTTGTATTTCTAGCATCAGAAACACTCCAATGCTTGGTCTCCCCATCTTTGTGCTTCACTGGGAAAAGAGGTAGCTTTGAGAGTGAATGAACCTGTCACTTCGATGAGCTCAGCTAGTGTGTAACACTGCCATTGCAACAGCTGATCTCAAGGAACCCCTGCTAAGGTTCATCCAGGACTGAAATGACATGGCATGACTACTTGAAAAAATTACCTCTTACTCACTAAATAGTTCACAGTTTGCACCTCTCCCCTGTTACAGGGGCTGAATTCGGAACAGACGAGTAGCTGCTATTACTCGGATAGGTTCCCTCTTACGCGCCAGCTTGCTTCTGTGAAGCCCACGCAGATGGTTTCTCACCAGTTAGTTTCCAGCACTCCACCAACTACACGCCCGAGGGACTCGGTTACAGTACGTGTTTTGGGA